TTTCCTTTTTCCTTTTTCTGTCCACATATATATCTTTCTACTACAACACTCGTCTCGTCCATGTCGTCTTTTTTCGTTCCACTGGGGTTTAGCAAGTGTGATTATAAAGAGACGAAAATCTCTTTCCACATTTCAAATGGCAGCAAAACTAGCAACCGACGTTTGGCCGCACATTAAAACTAGTTTCAGATCCCCGCTCACTTGCCCGCGCAAGTTCGGCATGTTTGGCCTCGTCGCTTGGTGTGTGGTGGTCCTTAGAAGTCCGGGTTCTGGGTTTCAAGTCCTAGTATCAGGTGGCACCCCCAAGGGTTAGGGTTCGGGCGGTAGTTACGGTGAGGTGGCATCTTGAGAGTGGGGGTTTGGTTTATGGGCTTATGTGGTACCACTGCTAGGAAAAGCTTACTTCCAGGAAATAAGTACTCAATAGTCTTCCTGTTGTGAGATGGCAGTACAGCTACCACCACTAATACAACTCCTACCACAGTATTACTTTTAGTCCTTCATCGTGACGCGTTACATAAAAGTACTCCTGAGACACGATGCGGGCACTCTGTGGCGAATCGAAAAATGTTCTTGAACCTGAGCATGTGATAAGTGACTGCCGGGGAAGGCGGGGTTGGCGTCAGCGGTGGCGGTGGGGGGGGGACCTTGGGGACCGTGTCAACGTTTTCTGTGCCGGAGCAGGGACAAACATTGGGCAAACATTGGGAAAGGCTGGTAGCCTTTTGAGATAGTCGGCTGTTGATCTAAGACTGAGAAGCTAAAGTCCGCTATCTCCCGTCCGATACAACAGCCAAGGTCTTGCTGACACACAGTCACAGAACAAACACGGATACCTGAAGACAATGACCTTTGAACCGCCCCCGCCGCGGAACAAAACAGGAAGCGGGGAAAGTGACTCCGGGCCACTTCCTCCCCCCTGCGGGGCCAAGAAATGAATCAGGTGGAATGATTGTTAGTCCACGAGTAATAAAAGCCGCGCAAGTGTGCACACATTGTCCAGGAGTGGGTAGCACAGATGTGGTATGTGCGTACGAACGCGTTAGCCCGCGCGTGCGCGGGCGTGAGCGTATAAGGCAAAGAGAGGGAGTCTTCAGATGTAGCGACAGATGGTATTTGATTACAGAGCAGACGGTCGGTGTTGTACAAAGATGCTGTCTCAGCCCCAACCTAAGGAGCCGCTTTAGCCTCCGGTGAAGGCAAAAGCGGAGGGGGAGGCAGGTGGAGGACAAGAGGGAAAAGGAAACAAAAAAAAAAAAAAGAAAAGACTCAAAAGCAAAGAGCGAAGCAAAGACACACAAAAGAAGCAACTCCAAAAATGAGCATCAAAGCAAAAAAAAAAAAAAAAAAGACTAAAAGCGGTCGGACAAGAACAAAAGGAAAGAAAAGGAACCAGAAAAGCGGGCCGACGTGGTGGAAAGTACAATAAGGTCGTGATGAGTAAACCGGTAAATGATGCACAGAAATAGATGTCTTACAAATGAGAACCGTGAGCAAAAAATATTTTGGGGGAAAAAGGATAACAAATATTTTGGGATACACTTTCTTGTGCTACCGAATTCAACCTTAAAAAGTCCCGAAATACAAATCCATAAGATTTTAGCCACCTTATTTTGCAAAAAGAGCTCATGAAAAATTCGTGAAGTGACAAGAGGTTTTCAGCCGGTTTGTTTCGCTTCAAGAGAATATTCGAAACACCCGTCACGTTTTGTTGATTGCTCTCTGGCTTTCATCGACGGACAGTGTCGCTGTGTTTGTGCGCGTGTATGCTTTGTTGTGATGATGATGATGAATTGAGCTCGTCCAACGTGGCCTCCGTCTTTCACGGCGCAGCCAGAAATGCTATCGCGAGTGAGTGACTTTGCGTCATCGACGAATTGGAAAATAATCGGGTGCTCCCAACACGGAGCAAAATTTCAAGTGAGAAAATGAAATACAATCTCAGGGGAAAAAAACCCCAAAAAAAAAACAAAACCTCACCACCCAACCCGGATGTCAGTTTTTTTCCTTTTTATTTCCATTTTTTTGAACTCATTTTTCACAAGCTTTGCATATACACTGCACATACATTCAGTTCAGAGAGGGTGAAGAAGGCACAAAAGGCAATTTGACTACTGGTTGTGTTTGGACCGCGACAAAGCAATTAAGAAGGGTGTGGAAGGGGCTGGGGGGGCGGGGTCGGTGAAAAAAAAAAAAGAAGATTCTCAGGAGAAAACACCAAACGACTTCAAACTCATTTTGGGCTTCCGAGCCTATCTTCGGCCCCCGTCGGGAAACGAAAGAAAAACAGTTTGAAAATGTCCAGTTAGCTGCCAAGACCCTTCCCATGTTTATATATATTTTTTAAAATTCACTTTTAGGTTGGATTAAATTAAAAAAAAAAAAAAAAAAGTTTGATCTACTTAATGAGATGCAATCCAGCCTTCCCTGGTTGAAAAAAAAAACAACATTGAATAAATTAGGATAAATTAAACCAATAAATTACACACAATCTGCAGGACATAATTCACATGCGCGCCCCCCCCCCACCCCCTCCCAGAACGTTGCTAAATTATACAAAGGCGGCATCTCTCACTTTATAAGTCCACCTCATGGATATTTACATAAGAAATGTGAGTAATAATAATAATCATAATGATGATAATAATAATAGAAAGATTAACTAGTGAAAGCATAAAGGTGGTGGTTGGGGGGGGGGGGTGACCAAAATCCTTTTCAAGCAGGTCAGCAAACGGATCAGAGGAAATGATGGCGACACGCACGCACGCACGCACGTCGCCAGCGCTTAATGAGAGTCATTTACA